AAAAGCTAAGGCTCCGTACTATTCTAATCCATAGTTGTATTTAAAAAAACAAAACAAAAAAAACACATGTTTTATAATTTTGCTCTTTAGCTTTTCCAAATTAAACAGGCAGTGTTGCAGGCTACAGAGGATTGATTTTCCTTCGATTTTTACAAATTCTGGTTCTAGTGTATTTTTGTATGTGTTAAAAACCTTTGCAGAATTACAGGACCAGTTCGGGGTTTAACTGAAACATTATTTATTTATTTTAGATATTTATGTGGGAGAACGTTCAGGACTTTTAGACTTTTAAGAACTAGGTTTTTTTTTGTTTGTTTAAATAGGCTACTGAAGGTACTGTTCAGGGGATGCTCAGGAAATTAAAAGAGATATTTTCTCCAAATGTAGATAACCGGAAACAGAAAAGCCAATTTCTGACCAGATATTAAAAGAAGACTCCAAAAGCGTAAATACTGTCCTCCTGTCCAGGACTGCTTTTTGCTAGAGCGTTAGTTTTTAAAGGCCAGTATTTGTAAGCCGGACAATTTCTAAAAGTTCTGTTTAATCCACACAAAAATTAAAATGAAAATAAAAACCCAGTTCAATATTTGAGCATTTAAACAAATAATTTACAAGCAGTAACTATTTGCTTAAAGTATTACAAACAAATAAAAGTAGGCTTCCTTATCTTAATAAGTAAACAGCATGAACAGGAAAAATCCCCCTAGATGATTGATTTCCTGAACTTCTGCTGATTAGGTTAAAAAAAGTCAAATCTTTCAACTCAAAAGCAGCTAATTTTGTCCGTTCCTCATTTAAGGAGCGCAAACGTTCCCTTTTAAAGAGGAGAAAAAAAGCTCAAATCACTTAAACACAACATTGACTTTTATAAATCACTGCAAACGAAGAGATTAGATTAATTAGAGCAAACAGATAAGCATTTAGAGGGAAATAAGTGGCTGAGATATTTCTACCTGCTATCAGTAAATCCCAGAGCAAGCAGCTGCTGAAGGACATCCAAACAACAGGACGTTGACCAGGAGGGAGCAGAGCCTCAGACTGCTGAGATCGATGTTTGTACCACAGTTTGTTTAATGTTCACAGAGTGTGCGCATGTGTGTTGGTTTGGTAAGTCTAGTTTTATGACTGAGGCGTGATAAGTAGGGAGAAGGGCAGCAGTCAGTGACTCTTACCTAAGGTCCTGGCTATAAAAGTCAGAGAAAGTGAGCACAGGTCACTTTAAAAACACTGCCCAAAACACCTTATTATATTCCATTATAAACATATTTATATCAGTCTGTTTCTAAATTTGCAGTGGGGATTATTTCTTGACAAAACCTCACAACAGAACTGTAGATAAATGACTGGTCTTTTCCAGCAGAGTTTCTGCTGCATGGTATGCAACCCTCATCAAATTACTAACACATGACAGCAAAGTGGATTTTATCATCTAGAATAGTTTTGTTAATTGAGCCTAAAAGCTTTAAAATGGCAACAACAACATGATAACAGTAAGGTAGCATCAAGAAGCCCCTTTTTTCATGAACATCCATTATTACAAGCAATCCTAACAGAGAGCATAAATGCCTAAAATGTCAACAAATTAGTTTTTTTTCACATTAGAGATTTTTCTCATAAAAATAAAAAAAAACATCCAAACCAACCTTGCTGGATGTGACAGTAACTGTACCCTGATAAAGAACTGGCTGCACAATCTTTGGCGGCTACAACTCAGATTTCAGATTGTTTTATTTAAACAATGTGTGCAAATTGTTCTTTATATTAAAATCTATGCTTAAAGTGCAGTGCTAAATAAAGTTTCCTAGTGCTAAACAAGCTGGTTTTCAATTAGTGTTGCACCGATACCGATACCAGTATCGGACGGGGCCCCGATACTGCCCTAAAATGGTGGTATCGGTATCGGCGAGTACCAACAAATAGGGCAC